CTTTGCCAATAGATAAAGACATTTATTTATAATGAACTATTCCATGTGCCTTGGCAGGAAAGCACATAGCTGCTGAACAGTTGGGAAAGTGTTTTGTCAGAGGCAGTCTGGCTGAAGGTTTGCTTATAACACTGTTTGTTAGAATTCTGTTGGGCTACATTTCTCATTTACAATCTGCTCTGGTTTTGCTATTTTATTTCTTTAATTATTCTCTCTGATCTATCTAAAAGAGCTCTTGTCCCCAGTCTCATATGACATTTTCAAAAATTCTTGATTTAGCCATTCAGCAGCAAATTCTTGCAATTACCCACAAGTAAATAGCAGGAAATTTCATTAACTCCTTTGACAGAAATCACAAGATGAAACCTTCTGCACCATAGGTGCAGTCTATGGTTTGTCTGTCAACATATCTCCCACTTTCACTCTTTCTTTCTAGAAGCCAAATATTACATAGAATTTGTGTATAGAATATGAATCACTTTAACACAAACTGAAACACTGTCAAAGGCTTTTTCACAAAATGTAGATTCAGTCCGAGAGAAAGACTTTCATTTCTGCTCTGATGTTTTGATGATAAAATGCTTTTGAACAAATGAAAACCCATTTAACTCTTCATCTGTACCTTTCCTGACAAGTGAAAAATTGGTGTACTCCATAAAATAATGTGTTTTCTTACATGTTTTCTTTCTTTGGTACAACTGAGATTTGGCTAGGACAGAACATCAATCTGCCAGAATTATGCGGAAGGCGTAGGATTCATGGTATTTCAGACCCAGTCAACAAAATTAAGCAAGCTTTGTTCTATTTTAAATTCACAGAACATGTCAATCACCTTAGAAGTAACTTCCAGAAAGTTCTGTTTTGTTTGTTTTTGTTCTTAAAGCATGCAAGTTCCAGGCTGATTTCCAGAACACTGAAGTTTCAAACCTTAGTAAGAACTTGTGAGAAATCATCTGAGGTGAACCTCCAGGTCCTTGACAAGACTTACCAGTTTTGAATAGAGAGATGTTTTCCACACATAGAGCTCTGTTTAGCTTCAGGTGTCCCTGTAAGTTCTTCTGTCACTGCAAAGCAAATATTTTCAGCAGTATCTAGCCTTTCCATAGATATAAAACAGAACTAAAAGCTTCAAATGTGACCAAGCTTGTTAGGCAAATGAAAAAATAAAATAATTTAAAAAGCCCTTCTATGTTCCAACAGTGCTGATCTAAGCTGATGAAAAAATATCTCAGATGACTACATTAAAAAATGTGATCCATTACTCTATCTTTGGTTTTGTGTTTGATTTTAAACTCATTCAAACAATATCAGGTTAAATCTAACTTAGCCTTTACAGAGCTATAATAACCCCAAAGCAAATTACATCTTCAGTTTGCTGACAGGAGTCTTAAGGGTCAGAACTCTAAATTCCATCCCTTTGGTGTAGTGCCAGGGATTTTGGAAAGAGAAAAAAACCCAAAACAATAAAAAAAAAGTAAATTTCATATGTATCTTAAGAGATTCAAATAATTTCAATAAAACTAAACTGTTGCCTGGGCCTATGTGCACCCTAGAGTCTCATCCACATTTTATTTTGACATGTAAAATGACACCTAATAAGAAGTTACCATAGAGTCATGAGAATAGAAAGGAGAATATTATTTTTATTTCATTTCCAAACTGTTGTGGAGCCAGTAAGGGATAAGAGTGATTTCTGCCAGATACTGTGATATACAGTTTAGACTGTGGTTTCTGAGTATAGGTTATTACATACTATCAGTGGAAAGACATGGAAAAGGAATAATTGCAAGATATCTTCTGGGCCTGTTGCACCCTGGGTTTCCAGAAATTTTTCTGTATCCATTATGAATGTAACCATTATTTGTCTACTAACCCTTAATGCTCCAAAATTACAAAGCAGGGTTCCATATTTTCATTATCATATATCTCAAGTGAGATGCTTATATATATATGGATAAATGTGTAAGAGGAAAAACACTTCTGAAAATCAGATCACTCTTCTTGAAATGTCTGAGCTTGCAATAAAGCATCAAACTCAAAAAGTCCAATTTTGGTGGTGGCTTTTTTGTTGCTGGTGATTTAACACTGCCATGAACTCTTCTATGATATTTGTCATGCAGCAGAAACATGTTTTCCCTTACAGCCTGCAACTGAATGTTTACAATTTATCTTGCAAGATTTCCTCAGATATTGGTGTTCTTTAAGAAAGTTGTTTAGGCAGCACTGGCACAATTTGCTGAAACAACTGAATCTGTGAATCATTTTGCTCACCTAGGTTGTTAGTAGAGGGAAACCTGGAACATCAGGTTTCAACTAGCTGGCAACAAGCTATTATTGCATACATGACCCAATCATTAGAGGAGAACGTGAAATCTGAGTAATTTCTTGGAAATAATGTCTCTCTGGATGTTACTGAAAGCATAAGGCAATTACACAATAACTTGGATATCTTAATCAGATGTTTAAATGGAAATGAAATCAACCTGCTCTACTGCTTTAAGCACAAAGGTAGAAAGCAAAGGAGTCCTGTCAGTATAAAAACAGTCCCTATAGCTCTCACTGTCTTGACAGCCCAAAATTTGTGAAATCCATTTCAAAAGGTTATTAATTTTCAAGAAATATCTTTAAAATAGGACAAGCTGAGCTGTCTTAGAGATTCTAGTATTAAAGTGAAGTGTGCGTGACAGATTTATGTTCTCTTCTTACAGAATAAGCCTAAGGAGAGGTTGATTAAATACAGGAGAGACAGAGTAACGATTCTTTTTGCTCCTTGGCAGGAGAAGGCTCCAGAATTATCCACTCCACACAGCTTCCCTAAAAGGAGAGGAGGAGAGCATTAAGTGTTCTCTATAAATTGCTTCTTAGGGAATGTTAAGTGAGTGCTTAGGCAGTAATGATTCTCTTGTGCCTCCTTGAGCAGGGAAAGGTCCCGTTTGTTCTGGCCCAGACTCATTTTTCAGCACGTTTGCTGTGGTAGCAGCAGTGCTTTTCTCACATCGCTATTTTCTGTTGAATCAGTGATTTGGTTGTTTCGGTTCCAAGTTTTCCTAATGTTTTCTTTTTTCCTACAAACGATGGTAAACAGTCCTTCATCTGTCAGTTCCTGATTATTTTCACCTGCCTGATAACTCTGCATTTTTCCTTCTTTAGTAAAAACTGCATGGATGCATCAATTTTTTCCCTATTGCAAATGTTTTCACTGTAACCAACTGATAAAAATAATACCTTGGTCTAGCTTATTCTTTAGTCAAATTGACAAAGTTTTTCTTACAGCAAATGAACAGAATTTTTCTGTTTAAATCCAGGGTATATGTTGTGTAACAATGGGTAACCATTCAATTAACCCTTCTGAAAGTGGCCATATGATCATTTTTTGTGGAGAACCATACATCATGGACCATGATCCTCTACATAGCACTGGCAGTACACCATGGCTATAAAACTGAATGGATCTGAACTAGTCTAGCCCAATGGACTAGCATACAGATCTTTCTTTGACTTCTGTTGGTTTATACACTATTTTATTTATTTTATGTTTTGGGAGCTACACAATTAAGAACCTATTGTCAGCTATGGAGTTTTATTTGATTCCATATTCCTCAAAGCAGATTTTTTGGTGTGTGAAATCCTATTCATTTTGAAATCAAGTCACATTGATTTCAACAGAAACAGAATTTCACCTTTAAAGCCTTTTAATTGAATACTGAACTTTTAAATGGAGTTAGTTTCCTTCATTCCTTGACACAACTGTGTTTTTTTTCTTTAAGAAGCATATGGGTAGAGATGCAGTCAGCCTTATTAGTTGGTCATCAGAAATGCATAGGACTGTAAGTCTCTACTATGAATTTCTGTACATATCTTATGCCCATATTAACAGAAGTTATTTATGACACCATGATACTGATGAATAGTGAGAAGTATTTAAAGGCAAGTCAGAAGTTCTGTGATTAATTCTCATAGAAATGTTCTTATTTCTAATTTTACAATATCCACTCAAATCCACATGGGAAATGTTTTTTGTTCGAGTACAAAGGTGTCAATTTTATTCTAAAACTCCATGTTGTTGAGAAATAGGAAAGGAAAAATAAAGCTCAGTCAACAAAGATTTTCCCAAATATCCTTATGTATATCAGGACAGAAATACACATAAGACAATTATATGGTGGTACTCTATATGTCCTTGATATGAAGTTATGTTCTTTCTTCTCTTAATTTCCCTCTACCTTTCTGCAATCAAGTTGTCATTATATTTTTCCTTTCATTTTCAAATTACAGAAGTGCAAACAAGAAGTTTTGATTTTTCACTTCAAATTAAGCTTGGTTGGAGCTGCTCTGCTTTGTAACTTGCTGTGCTCAGGGATGATTGATTAGGAGAGTTTGTCCTTCCCAAGCTTCTGAGGTACAGAAGGCCAGATGAGTAAAATTATTATTTTTGTGTGCTGTGATTCTATCCTAGAACAACTGCTTGCTGCTTTCTACTTATGTCTTAATATTGGGACTCTATTAATTTCAGACATATTTTGTTTCTCGCTTCCCCAAGATTAAAAGACTGGGCCTTTTCAACAAATATCAACAATTACTAATAAATTGTATATCCTTTACAACATAGGTGCATTCACAAAAATATGCACAATCTTAAGTGGGATGCTGCATGTTGTTAATTTTAGATAAAACAGCAGTTTTCTACTTTAGCTTTGGAGAATGTTAGGGGCATTCACAGCTCTCCTAATTTACACAAAGGGCAACTGCAGCATGGCTTACTTTACTTGCTATAGTAGCAATCATTTTGGCACACACTGGCTCTGGCACTGAGAGCAGAATAATGTCACCAGAGGCCGTTTCCTACACACTGCACTGGAGTTGCTCAAAAATCTCATCTGGAATACAGCCTGCCGAGGCTTGAGATCATAAAGGGCTTCTCGTGCGTAAATGACACTGATCCTGATGCTAGAACAAGTAGTTAAACCCTTTGCAAGCTCAGAAAGAGCATGGAGAAAAAGCCCACAAAAATTAGAATTTATTTTGTAATTTATTTTTTCCACCAGCCTATGGTCTCCACATGATGCCACTGGCTATGATTCATGTATAGACAGTGAGCGATTAAAAAAACCCCTCTGTACTGTTACAGCTGCCAGCAAAGTGTCCCTTGAAGCATTCTCTGAAGCTGTGATTCTTCTTTTATGCTGTGCTCTGTTTTCAGAAGTGTATCTGTGTTTTCCTAAAGCAGCTGTAGAAGGTAGGCTAGGAGAAGGTATCTGTTCATCTGTCCCTAGAAGATGGGATAGTGATGAGTTCAGACAAAACATTCCAAGGATAAAATTTAAATTGACAGCTTCCATTTCAAGAAGAAAATAACGTTTAACAAAACTATGTTACTGAGTTATCAGTTTATGTTGGAGGTGCTTCAGACTTGACCACCACTTCACACACACACTCACAGCCAGGATAACCTCCATGTCTTTCATAAGGAGATGAAAAAGCAAAGCTCTTTCCCTCATTTTGCTCCATTTTTGGTGTAAAATGAACACAGACTAGAGCTTAAGTAAACAAAATGCAATTTTGCTTTAATCTGAAGAGACACTTGTTTTTAAACACAGCAGTGATTACAAAGAAACCTGATAGCCATGTTTTTGACACAGAAAGTGATAAAATCTGCTGGATAGCTATCACTTTCCCTATTTACTTGGTTTGTTCCTCCAGCTGTTCTCTGTTTTCACACTTAAAATTTTGTGTGATTTGCAGACATACATAGTACAACAACTGGCCATGAGTATAAGAGCCTTCCTAGGAAACCATGATTGAGATGTGATTATTAGCTTATTCATTCAAATAAAAAAGTCTCTTATTTTCAAAATCCTTAGCAATAAACAGAAAATCACAGACCACAGGTGAAACTGAAGGTCATGTAATGGTAAACAGGAGGTAAGCACATCTAAGCCTTAAATATTTCTGAACAGGAAGAAGAGCGAGTAGATGTACATTTTCTGTAAGACTATGGGTGGTGACTTCACTTTGGATTTTGGTCACAGACAAAATTTATCAATTATATAAATTCTTTATTTGAATTTGTGTAGATTTGGAATGTTTTATGATAGGGAGAATCTTTTTATATTATATGCCATTAAAAAGCACAGCAAAGGGAACTGGTTATTAGTCAGAGTTTCACTGGGGTGCCATGAAGTTAAGAATCAACAATAAAACTCTGGTTCAGGCACCTGACATTTAATTTTGGATTTGTGATTAATATCAGATGTGAGGCACAACATACTGGTGAGGCATTTCATAACCGTTCACCTTTATTACAGAAAAGATGCTAGGAAATATTAAATCATAAACCCATTGGTTTATTGCACACAAGTCAGATCTGTAGAGAGATGGAGAAAAAAAATTATCTGAATCATTTAGCAAGCAAGAAGTCAGAGAAATGACCTTATGAAGGGGAAAATTTGAAACCTCCTCTAACCAAGAGTGGTGGTGATGTGGCTTTCATGTATGGCTACAGTGGAATGAAGGACAGAACAGGATGTCCCCCAGTTGCTTAACTCAACACACTATGTCCTAGAACCCCTTTCAGGAGCTGTTGTTGATGGAGGAACAAGTTCCCATCCCACAGATTCAGAGAACAGAAAGACCCCAGGGGGTTTCAGTTGTCCAGTACTGCTGGACAAGTGCAAGCCCCCGTAAGTATTAATATTAAAATTATTCCTTTTTTTGATAGCTTAAAATACTTATCCAAAAGCTTGCTCTCTCCCTTAGTGGCTTACATTGCATTGTGTGATTAAAAGCTAGTCACTGTAAACAAGGTTCATTGAGGATTAGATGAATGATGACTGGGGAGACTCAGGACAGCGGATGTTAGGGACAGCTGGATCCAAGAGCCCTCTGGCTGTGAGGCTGCCACAATTTCACATCCCTAGACTCTTCCAGCAGGCGTGCATGAACTCAATCTCTCCAGTAGATGACACAGACCTACAGGCCCTCTAACTTGCTGACTCTGGTCTCTCTGTTGTTTGGCCCCAGGGGCATGATCTCCTTCCTACCCAGCTCCCAGACCTCTTGCCTTTCTTACCAGCTAGTCTGGTTTGAAGTTCACTAACAAATCATGTAATACCCCCGTGCACACACACAGAGGACTGCAGTTCCTTAGGAAAACACTCACATACCCTAGTCTCCCTGGTTCCTGTCAGTGCAGACACATGATCTTGGTAAGCCATGGCCCCTTCTCCAGCTGCTGGCACTCAGACCCCATACACACATGTGCATGCAGCATAGGGAGCCCCTTGACCAGGACAATATTTGGAAATGGACCAGGACAGACTGAGCTGAGCAACCACAGCTCATGGCCAGCCCTTGTTTGTACATGTTCAACTGCTTTTACTCCCTTATCTCTGTTTTCCCACACTAGCTCCTCCCCAAGCCACACTGATTCATCCTTCCCCCAAATATCCTAAGATAAGTTTCACACACTCTCACATTTCAGTAAAAACATCCCACAATAAGTTTTACACAATCCTTCAATGTTTCTCTCTTGCATCCCGCTATGAGTCCTCTTCCTGAGGTTTCTTCAAACAAGCCAAGCCAAGCCAGGCCAAGCCAAGCCATCTCAGTGAGTCCTGACCATGGTCTGATCACCTTTCCTGAGTAGCCCCAGGAGTGGCTGAGTCGGAGTACTCAGCACTAATTATGTTATGGGGGTGTCCTCTTGACCAACACTTGTGTTTATGGTGATTAGCTCTTCATCACATATTGCAATGGATTAGGGAAGCCTCCTGCCTTCTGCCTGGTTTATTACTCTTCTGCCCAGCCCTTATATGACACTTAGCATGATTCGCAGATACAAAAATATCATGCTCCTCTGCTTCCCATTGCCCAGGCTGCATTAAGCTCCCAAGATCTGGAGAATTGTCTGGCCAACATCTCATTGTACTTTCTTGCTTTCACCCACCCTATGTCAATCACCAGCTTCTCTTCACCCACATCTGTGAAGGTTTTGAGATCCTATAAAACTCCTCCAGATAACACAGCTTCTGTCTCACTTGCTATTATGTGTCTTTCCCTTTGGCTTCTTCCCTCCAATTAAGACACCAGCTTTTCCTCCGGGTTTCCTTCTCATTCAGTCTGAGTCAAATATATGTGATGCCTGCAACCCTGCCCTGCTCATGTCCCTACTCAAACCTCCTTTTTCCTGGAAGACTTACCAAATCAGATAGTGAAACATCTCCCCCACTCCACTGTGAGATACAAGGGCAAGAATGAAGTGATCAGTGAAAAACGGCAGTAATTCTGCTTTATCAAGTAAATATTCTAGATTTTGCAGACTGGTTTTAAAGCAAATAAATCAACTTTGAAACAATTTCTCTTCCTCAAACCCAATAACAAATGTGAGGGTTCATAATCTTTTCCTTCAAGACCCATTCCAGCAGCCACAGAAGATGCACAATCCCTTCTGCTGCCCCTAAAACTGACTACCATTGAGGAAAGCCAAAGAAAAAGCTCTGCCTCCCAGAGCTTTGCATCGTGAAATTTACCATCACCACAACATACATTCTCCAAAGCTAATACTTTGAAGATACCAATTTAGAACAGATTATTCAGTTTCTAGCCATTTTAGGGCATACTTTTTCTATACTCTTTGATGCTTTACTAACACCGGGACTATGCTCTGAAGGTGTGGCCATGGTACAACTCAACTGAAGTCAGAGGATTTACGCAGTCTGAAGACCTGGCCCTACGTTTCACCTTGGCCTTTCCAGCATGCTGATTTAATTTAACCCAAGGCCAGGAATTAATATAAAAAACAACAATTCATGCCTGCTTACATTTGTGCTTGTGACCTACGCCTGTCCGAACAGGAGTTGGACAGGACAAAGCACAATGCACTTCCTTGCTTTTATTGCTTTCATTCACTTCATGTCATGCCAAAGAAGGTTGATTTAGGAAGTTCTAGTAATTAACTGCTGATGTTTTTGACTGCTGTTCCCAAGAGACTTACAATGACTTGTAATTGTTGTTCTGTAGGAAACTCTTTCTGGAGTGATTGTAGATAACATATATTCTCTGTATGGCTTTACTTTTACTTGATTATTTTTTTAAGCAAGGAATATAATTGTTCCTTTAAGCAAATTCACCAGCTTCTGGCATCCTGGAAGCCTCATATATCACCCTTCTCTCAGACCATACTGACATTTTGCTGTCAGAGTCCATCAAAGAAAGAGGCTTCTTGATTATGTTAGATATAGGATATGTAAAGTGGACAAAAGAAGCAAGGAGAGAATAAAATTTAATGCTGTTTTTGTACTGTAAGTTACAGTGTGCCTTTCATTGCTCTTAGCAGATGAGAAAACTCAAAAGGAGAAAGGACAGGAGCAATGTGCATTTGGGGAACACAAGATGTTAGGATGTAAATCCAGGCTGGTGCTCTTAGAGGAGACTCTTATCAGCTCCTAACATGGTCTCACAGCTGCTTAGTCTTCAGGATGCTTCCTTGTATTTGTAAGTCAGTGTTCTGTTAAAAATTAGTGGACTTCTTATTGCTGTTGCATAAAGCCTAACCAATTCCACCCAAAATTAAAAGAAATGTAATAATTATAATTCTAATTTCTCTTTCTGTGCCCTCTGCTACTCATGCACGTATGCATTTCTCAACGCAAGTGGCATGCAGCCATTAGGCACTTATTTTCTCTCTTAGATGACTAAGCAGTTGGGCATCTATAACTATACTTCATAATGTAAAAAAAAAAAAAAAAGCCCAATTTTCAGATTTTCATCTACAATGTTTATCTACTACTCACTTTGAAAACTCCTAAAAAAGTACTACCAATAAAAAGCAGAGCAGATTCAAATGCGAGTGTTGTAGTTGTCAGGTTTGCAAACTGGAATCATAACTTTAATAAAACAGGATTGTTTCTTACAGAACAAACTTGACCAAGAGGGACTCAGGAAGGATATTGTGCGTGATAGGAATTCAGGCCTGAGAAGGATGTCAGTCATAATAAAACCGTTCTGTATTGAAGTGCTCATAAAAGACCGGCTTTCTTCACACGCCACTGCAAAGCATTACTCATTTGTCACATTATCTAGGACTGACATTTACAATCTGCAATTTGCTATTGTGATATTTTTCCCCTTTACTTCTATTTTCCAAACACAAAGAACATATGACAGCAGAATGTGAAGTCATATCAACAACGTACTATAGCCATTTAAAAATGGGATTATGGAGATGTATCATAGACATGAAGACACAAATCATGAACCTTTTCCTCAACGAAAATGCAATAGCATACCAGACAGCTACCTTCCACTAGAGATAAATAAAAATGTGGAAAAATACTGAAAATAGTATTTTTCAATGAAACAATGATAAAACAGATTTGCACTTGTCATGAGTTTGGCAATTAGTATGTGTTTCTCCTGAATTTCATGGTCAATCAAATAAATGAAGTATAGGCCTAAAACTGTACCACAAAGAAGAAAAAAATCTAAGTAACCTCTAGGGTAAAATAATTTATAGCCTTTTCCATGTTCAGTGTTTCAGGTGGACCTTTTTACTTGAATTATTAAAACTTACTGTTGCACCTTCTGCCCCTGCTTATGATGACACCATTTTTATGTTTAAGATTTATTCCTTACCAAAACTTCAGTAATGTGACCCCTGTCATATGCACCAGCTGACTGAGTGGCTCCTCAGTAACTCTGATCTTCAGCTGAGGTTTTTACTTCTCTTTGGAAATAACCTTGCAGAAACCCAGACATCCTCAGGGGAATTGTGTTGCTCAGATCTGCACAGGTGGAGATCAGTGAACCACTCCCTTCCCTTAGTCACAAAGCTATATTTTTCCATGCTCCCTGCAACAATGATCCAGAACTCAAGGTCTGGAGACTTTGGCTCATATCCACAACACTTAGCAAACCAAGTGCATCTCAGCAAAAGGTATGTTTGTGGAACGTAACTTTTAACCTCATGTTCTTAGTGTGTCATACAGAGAGGAGGTGAACAGTTTTATTCTTTTTTTGGTTACATATTCTTTGCTAGTGTTTTGTCAATTAATAAATGTTTGCTGAATTCCAGTGCGCAGAATATTTTAAAAAATGCCCAGAATATTTCTTAGATTAATTTGGAAGTCCTTGCCAAATGATAAGATGGTGATAAGAAAATAAGCAGAACGCCCACACAAGGTACGAATAGCCTGAGCGTTTTATCAGGATTTAGGATTGTGACACAGTCCTAGTGCTGTCATACAAGTAATCGACACACACTTAGAAAATCTCATGTCCAGGACACCTTCCAAGTCTCAACTCTGATATGCCTTCTGTTGTGCCCACATGAGCAACCAATTTTATCAGCAGCGCCTTCTCCAAACACTGGCAAATTCCTGCTGCTCAGTACTATGAGTTCTTTCACAAAGGGAGAAACAGAGAAGTAGAAATAGAGAAATAGAGAAACGTAGACGTTTCTCTATGTTACAGCTGACAGCTGTGAGTGAAAGACAGAGGTAAGAATGATACAAGAGCCAGGAAGAATCTCTAATCCATTATCTCATTCACATCTTCTGTCAAGTATATGGGTCTATAAATACATTCTTTTCCAGCTTCATCATTGACACACAGTAGGATTCATTTGAACTATTCATCCTAGTCTCCTGATAGTATAAACATGGGAGATCCACACAGCAGCAGGCAGGGAAGTGAAAAATGTAATTGACTTAGCAGGCATCTAAAACAGGTTTGAAGGCTCATGCCTACATAACTTAAAGATAAACCAGGGTCACTGATTTATGTGGAGATATCTACCCTGTAGACACCTCTGACTAAATTAGATGGATCTTGTCTGAGAGTCACAGATGAGACTGAACTTCCTACGGCAGGAAGCCAAATGAGCAGAATAACTATTGCCAAAACTACTTGACAATGTGAGAAGCTTTTGATTTCGGATGACCACTTTCAGACACATGAAAGACCTTTATTTTGGGATTGTGGATGCTCACTACTTTCCAGTGCCTTTATAGGCATTGATACCTTAAGCAAACAGATTGTGTTGCAAACATCTCCTAGTAAGCAATGCATGAAGCAGCTGCAAAACCAAAATGCGTTGCATCTGAACCCATTAGCCTTGTTGCATCTCAATTAAACTCCATAAAAGAATGAGGGTTTATAAGTTCAGCTTCAGAACTGCATTAATGTCACAGTGCTGCTTCAATTTACCATCTCTGAGTATCTGAGTCTAGCATTTGCAGATGACCACCTCATCTCAAGCTGCCTACACCCATCTCATTATTCTCTTTTTTTTTTCACAAATGATCTCGGGTTTCTTAAATAGGCTTTGAATAGCACGTAATGTGTACAGTGTCATGGAAATCACACAGTAGCTGAAACTCACCTTGGTGCCAGGAACCAGAGATCAAAGAAGCAGGGCTCTAATTCGAGGGTCTAGCAAAAGCCACAATAAAATGACTCTTATGAATTGTACCTTTAAGCAGAACTTCCATGAAGTGTCAGCTGTTGCAGTTCCTTCAAGAAAAAGAAAAATTAAAAAAAAACATAAAAAATGAAACTTGAAAACTTAGACTACTGGTACTTATCCTAGAAAACGTCACTTTGCATACTTGAGAGTTTTTCTTTTTAAAAATCACTGCTTGTTTCCATGTTGATATAGTCAACAAGCTTTGTTAATGAGGGCTATCACAAAAGGTGACTGCTTTCCACTGTAGCAACAATCTCTCCCCACCCTGGCTGAAATGTCAGATAAAATACCTGATTGAAAATGCCCTTTTTCCTTCTCTAGCTTTATAAACAGAGCTGCTAAAGAGAAAATGCTTTCGTATCTCAGGGCTAATGTTAGGTTTATTATTTTCTAGCCAATGAAAACAAATGAAGAGCGCTAGTGTATACAAAGTGTTCTTAATGGAATGAGTTTTCCTTAGGTTACGCTGTAGACTGAGTCCTGGATCATACAGACATGCAGGAGCAATTGTTTTCTTTCTGTGAAGAAACCTTTCTGTTTCCTACGTGATCTTACTAACAAGCAGAAAAATAAAATAATGCACATCATAGAATCATAGAATCATAGAATCATAGAATAGTTAGGGTTGGAAAGGACCTTAAGATCATCTAGTTCCAACCCCCCTGCCATGGGCAGGGACACCTCACACTAAACCATGCCACCCAAGGCTCTGTCAACCTGGCCTTGAGCACTGCCAGTGATGGTGCATTCACAACTTCCCTGGGCAACCCATTCCAGTGCCTCACCACCCTAATAGCAAAGAATTTCTTCCTTATATCCAATCTAAACTTCCCCTGCTTATGTTTTAACCCATTACCCCTTGTCCTATCATTACAGTGATATCAGCCATGAAGACCTTGGTGCTTGATTCTTAAGTTTTACATTTCTTCAAACACAAACTGAAAAGACAAATTATTACAAGACAAACTTTAATGTGGGTTAACTTTTTACCACCTACTCAACAATGACTGTCCATGTGCAAGGTATGGTCAACATGAAATAATTCATATTATTTCATATATTTCAGTCCTGAATTATTACTTAGTAATTACTCCATAGTAAACTTACCCTGGGACTGGAACATGAGACAGGGTTACCAAAATAATGTAAACCTATAATTTGTATCACATTATATTTTTGTAATCGTACCCAAAATCATGTAGCACACTGAAGAACTATTTTACTCCTTCAAAAAAAGGGTACCATAATTTTCAGAAACAACCAGTGATTTGAGGTGCTTGTGGTTTAATGGAGCCACCACCAGAACATAGTGCCTTCTTCAAGTACTTCAGTTTCAGCAATTGGATCTTTAGTGCCCCTAAGCAACTTATTACTTCTTAAGAACCTGGTTTATGGCTCTGTCATTTTCCCAAGCTCTTCAACTTTCCTCTGATTTCTAAAGTAACCATTTCATGTCACTTTAAATTAGTCCGTTAGATATATCAGGAACAAAAACTAAAAGAAATCTGCCTCAGAAAAGTGAAGACTTGGAAACCACAGACTCAAGTTGTCATTTTCGCTCTACCTGGCAACAAAACACATGGTGACAGAAGAGATTCACTCATGACAACAGTCATCCTACCTCAAAGTTTTCTCAGATTTGACAAGTATAAGGGCAGACATGTAGAAAAACAAACACCAGCAGGTTCATCAAATTAAGTCTGAGTTTTACCCACAATGATGTTTTTTTACAAGTGTTTGCTGGTATAATGTTAATTCTTTTTTTTTTTCTGCTGTAAAGACCTGCAGATGGATAAGAAACGTGCTCAGTGTATGCCCATAACCATCCTGCCCAGACTCCCAGGAAAATTCTGCAGCATGGCTTCCTCTGCTCTGATTTTGACCAGGATGATGCAACTCAGACCAAAGAAGAAATGACATCTTTACAGTTTTCGCTTCTGTTTGGCTAGGCTTCAGTCAGAACACATTAGACTTGTGTACATGGAGTCAGATAATACCTCGCAGTTTAAACTAGCTTCAGACTAGTTGGTTTAAGCATCTGTAGTCACCTAGGTGACCACCACCGAGGTCAGTATGGGCTACTTCATCCCACTCCAACAGCACCATGGTTCCTTTCACAGAAAAGGAGACCTGACTTATTACTCCACTGACCTGATGAGGGCCATGAAACATTTATATCTAATCTACCTGATTATTTTCTACTAACAAATGAATTATTAGAAAAAAAAAAAGGAAAAAAAAGAGGAGGAAATCTGGGCTTTTACTATTACTGTTGCTTTAACTGTTTTATTTGTATGGGACATTCTGTACAAGACAATGTTAAATACACATTTTGTACATGACACCTTACCAAAATAGTACCTCTGTTCACATATTCATCTACATACACAATATGTCATGTCTGTTGTTAGCTAAGGGGTCAATTTTCAGCAAAGGGTGTATTTCTTTATGCAACAGAAAAAAAGAGAATGAAATTAAGAGAAGTGTCAATGTCATAGGTGTCTTTTAATGCTCAGTTGTCAAACAGTTGCTGTTTTGTTCATTTCAGGAAGTCACATTCATTGAGCAATGAAAAAGAAAATGAGAAACAATGCAGAGGAAAACATAATTAAAGAAAATAGATGTACACTGCTATAACAGGATATGATTCTACACGGATCTGTGCAAAGGTTTCTGCATTGCCACATAACATATTGCATTGACTTGTATGATTGACCCCAAAAAGCCCTGTAAATGTCTTAAGGGAAATAACTTCTGGTGCTTTATATTGAATACAAATATGCAAGTCTTCTTCTTGAGGCAGACAGTGACTGAGGTAATGATCTATCATATTTCTGAGAAGAACTTGATCTAAATTAATGTTCTGGTTGCACATTTCTTCATAATGGAAGGATGCCCTAGTAAATTTGAAAAGCCATCTCTCTTGCCTAGTACAGACACTGGCACTGAACCCTGGTGAAGGAAGATACTGGTTTAGGTTCCAGAAGCAAGGATGGTGGAAGAAGCTTATCAGTGCTGAGGTTCTCAGTGCTCCAGCTTGATGGAATTTTCCTACACAGGTGGTAGTTTGGTGAAGTAGTGCAAGTGCTTTATTTCTTCCTTTGTGAGTGAGGACACAGGTGAATATGGAGTTAGTTCATCTTAAACAGATGACAGGTGAACAGTGGACTTTGCAGAACAAATATACATGGACACACTGACAGCGAACAGGCAAGAAAGATCTGTCTCACTGAGGTTCTGTTGTCACAGAAATTAAGTTTCACCAAAAATCTCTCCATAACCAGTGATGAAGGAGCCTCTGAATTCTTTGCAAACTGTTTTAGAAAGAGGGACAGAGTTCAGGGCTTCCCCTCATCTTCATTTACCCTCTAGGATTAGCCATAAACCACAGTTTATTTCCAAGCTCTATTCACTAATCTGTACTCTTTCTGCACTCCAAAAAATCCTTACGTCTTCATGGGTGAAATCCATTTGGAGCAGTCCTCTTAGGCTCTTTTTATACTCATCATCCTACAGTCTGGACTATAGTTCTTCTCATCCTAAAGCAAAGATACATCACACCCTGATATCTCCCCTCCCCAGAACAAAGAACAGCTACTCTGAACACAACTGCACTGTAGACATATTTCAGTCAGATGAAATCTGGCCTGTCACAAGGCAGCTCCCTCCTTCCCCAGATGAATACTGATCTTCTATCAGGGAGTGGAACATTATCTCCAAACTGACATAGTTTAAAGCAATGTTTTAAATTAAATGGTGTATGTTTACTAGACTGGAAAATTCAGAAAGGAATTTTTTGTTAAAGCTGGTTCCAAAAATCTTCCATTATTCATGTCTACACTATTTCCTGTCCAAATGCACTCTTTAAAAGATCTTATTTTACATTATAGATGCCCTGTGAGGTAGGCGAGAAAATCACACTAAAGTGTGGACTACAGTTCATAGAAATTTCAAGAGCAACAAAGGCTTTGGATTTGGGATCTTTGACTGTTTGGGATTTCCACTCCCAGAAACACTAAAGCTTGCACTGAGGCAAGCTCTTCCTGATAAAAGACAGCTTTAAGTATGGATGATGAGTGTATCTTGAAGGCAGTATTGAGTCCACCCACAGCTGACAGTACAAACATATCCCTATATATACAAAGATGAAAGGGTTTACTAAATGCAAAGTAACGCCCATATAGTACAGTCAGGAATGAGCTCAGATCCAATGCTGCCTATGCTGCAAAGGCTGAATGGCAGATCTTAATTCCACAAAATTTAAAGTTTGCCTATCTGATCTAAACCAATTACATTACACTGAATTAAATACAACTAAAATAACTGAATGTCTGAGGTGCTTTACTGCATATAGGCATTTTGATATGAATGGTAAGCCAAAGGGAAGACCAGTATTCTTTCAAAGGCTACCTAAACCTTTCTGGTATTCCATTACGTCTTATATTCAGGTTGGTTTCCAAATCTAGCTCAAATGCTAATTCCCCAAGATCTGTATTTGCAAAGTCAGTTTGGTATTTTCATACTGCACACAGTAGGACATTGCATTTTTGTTGGAAATTGATTTTAGGAAGAGCAACTAGTTTATCAGGTCTCAGAGGAGTCTGCATACTTACTAGGAAGAAGGTGTTATCATAAATATCCAAAAGCAAGTTCTTTATTAAACTCTCATGAAATACTGACTCTCAAGAGAAAGGAATAATTCTAGAAAAATCATCTATCTGCCTGTTTTTCCAAGGCATTTTTTCCAGTCTTCAGTTCAGTAAGTTGTTCCAATTTTGGCAAAGTGTTGCCAAAATATGTTGCTTAAAGAATTCAAGTCAGAATACAAACTGCTGATTCAGTACCTCGTGATACATCTCCACAGTACATCATTTCAGTACATGCACTTTATTTAATCATGAAAAACAGTATCTATCACAGGTAGGCACCATTTAAGTTTCAAACCTAACAGTTCTTCTGGGGTTTTTTGTACTTACAAAGAAACAAACCACAGAACTTTTCTATTTGGTGTAAATAAACTCTGGTGTATAAAGTAATTACAATGGTATAAATATAAAGATACTGATACAGCTATCTCTCATCCAGAAAGAAAAATAAGCTACATCAGTGTGAGGCACTGTTACACACTGATTGCACACAGTGTAAGGAACGTAATAGTGTTACTATTCTGGAAACACAAAACCGTAATCCTTACTGTAAATTTTATGACACAACAAGAACTTTGTATATGTCAGGCTTTATCTGAAAAGCCCATATGGTTATCAATGTGTTTAGTGCAAAAGGAGACTTACTACTATCAATCAGGTAAAGAAGCGAGTACATGTTTCTTGGATACTTTATTCTTGCACTGGAGTTTTGTAGGTGAGAAGGCATATACACTGACAAATCTGGGTTCAGCATCTTCCATCAGATCCTTTGAAACAATTGCAGGATACAGAGTGGATCCAGAAAGAGACCTCAAGGGGACATTGACTTCACTGCTTCATCTGTAACCTTGACTTTGTGGTGGAAACAGTCAACTCTCAGAAGCTGTATGTTAAAGACAGCGACAAGGAATTTACGTAAGTGTTGTTTATATTATAAGAAAATATCTGAAGCATGAGGTGACTGAGGTGAAACTCTTCCAGCCTTCTAACCATGCCATTCTTCCTCATCGTAAACCGCACAAGTCTTGTCCTATTTCCTGTAGGTATGTGCTAATTCAGTCATTTCCTTTCTGTCTTTACAAATAAAGTGCAGGTCAGGTCAGTCACAAGATTGGTTCTGTGCCATTCCAGTCAATAACAGCTCCTTGCCACCTAGAAACGAAAGCAATAATTTTACATCTGTCAGTTAGTGAGATTATTGGAAAGGTAACCCAACACCCCCCTAACACCCAACGAACCTTAGAGAGATTAGGATAGACTCATTTGGAATAACTAATCACATCTTCTCAATGGGAAATGAAGAGAAGTGAGGTGCTTGTGCCCACGTTTGGAGGTAAGTCTCCTAACCCTTCCTCCATTTTTTTCTGTGTGATAGAGTCCTCAGCAGCAACAGAGTCAGAATATAGTACCTTTGTGTTGAAAAGACTGTAGAGAATCCCCAAGATGGGTACAAGAGTTAACACTATATAACCGGAATGCTCAGTCTCAGTTGTTACTAAGTAATTTGCACAGGTAATTTGCATGCTCCCATACAGGCAGGCCTCTAGTTAGGAACTCCGTGACTCTGAGACCCTGAGACCAGATCATTTCATTTAGCAGCCTTTTTTTTTTAAATCTTTTATCTGTATCAGCTGCTGCTGTTCAGCTGCCCACTCCAGGACTACGACCAACACTGAATACAAAGCAGGTATCAATCCTGCATTTGTCACCAAATGTGTCTTCATATCATGCCAGAAAACAAAGATCTAACCTAGGTGAAGGCAGGATGATGCTCTCCAATGACCTCACGGACTTAAAGCGAGTCAACCTACTGTACACTCAAGAGTCACTCGTTGCATGAATTGCACCCTTGTCTGTGTCATTTCTCGTGTTTGCAAGTTTCAGGTCCACATCTGAGAACTAAACTATTGCGTCCAAAGTGTCAAGTATTTACATTTGTTTTTAGTATCTGTCTCAGAGTGCGTGCGCACTGTAGTAAGACACTGGTGAGGGGGTGAAGAGAACACTGAGTTACCAGAGTGCCACATTCTTTTTGTCACTGTAGAAAGAATGTGTCAGTAAGGGTATGGCAGCTCAGTCCTTTCACTGACCAAGTCAGTTAAATGTAAAACAAAACCAAAAGCTGAATTAATGCAGTATTCAGTGCAAAGTCTCAAAGGAAGTGTCCAACTGAGTACTGTTGTGAAATTCTTCCATTTTTTTTTTTATTTTGCTGAGAAAATAAAAATTGAAAAATTGCAGAAAGAATGTCCTCATCCCAGGATTTAGTAGGAACACACGATGGTGATGCCTCACATCTTAAGCTAACAGAGTGTGTTCTAGCTAGGCATACTCGGCCTAGTCTGGCATTCACCAGTGGTGAGACCTGCCCCTGTCAGAATATTATCCTTCAGAAAAACCAAATGCAAGTGGGAAGCACAATCACCACCTCCTCTCCTCACTGAATTTTCCAGGTAATGCCATCAAATCATCCCTTATCTTTGTGTACAATCTTCCCAAAGCTCCGCCTTATATCCAGGGTGATTAAAGCTTTGAGAGGGATCCACACAGATCCCACAAAGGCCATTCCCACACTGAATGAAATCTGCTCTGAGACTATACTGTACTCTGAAAATACTAACGTGCTGATACCACTTTTGCTGTTATGGCTTGAGATGTTGCTAATTGCTATGCAGTAAGGAACTGACCTTTTTAAATTCAATAAAGATCTTAACCAGAAAATTATATTTGAAGCAGGACTCAAGGTAAGTTTCATAACAAGCCTTATCTCCTGTGTTTGTTTTCAAACAATTTTTGCTGAGACATCCGTAGACTGAAAAGCAGTCTTTCTTTGCTCCTGTCAAGACAGATTCAAAACCTTTTTCACCTACTGAATCTGCATAAGAAAAGGTGTCAAATAGTGACACTGATGGTACTGAACAACTCTTTTCTTTACAGACAGAAACAAAACTGTCTAGGCAATGCAGTGTCTTAATATCTCCAAACTATCCTGCCACAATGTAATTCAAATAGAGGACAGATTCTACTCCTGATTCAATTATAATTTATCAGATTAACAACATCAAAACTACACTTGACGCATCTGGTTCAACTACCACCTCACTCAAGCGTCATGGAGTTAACGGGAACACAAAAGGAACTGGTTCAGGCCTGGAACAATGCTCAGTCTGGAATAACATTCAGAGAATACCTCCTGTATTAATAATTTGGTATTGTTTTAGAGCACACCAGTAATTCAGGCTGAAATGTCTATGCTCTTCTCTTATCCACTAAATTTCCATTGGATATCTCACTTCAAAGCGAAACAGATGAACTAATGTATCATACACCTTCACTATCACAGAGGAAAGCTGATGCTAGAGGGTTAACAAAATATACCACTGAATTCAGATTATAATATCAGATCAAAGTTTTACTCCCCTCAGGGAGAGCTAACAGATGTTATTTCTGTCAGTGCAGAGAGATGCCGAGGATTGTGACTGCAATACAAGAGTATACTTCAGGGAAGAATGGGATAAGACGTCTGCACGGCATCTCCCAAACAACCCAAGGATGCACATTCCAGACATCTCTTGGTCAAAATCTAACTGCTTCTACAGATGTCTAGGGCTGAAAGCCACAATAAAAGCACATGTACTGGCTCTGGTTGGCAACCTGCAGGTTAAAGTGATGACTGCCAGAGACTAGTGATTCTAGTCATCTGATGTGTTACCTCCTTTCAACTCAAATCTTGCTCTTTTGACATTTTGTAGAATAGTGACTAAAAACATGAGTCTCCACTCTCTGCAGAAGCAAACCAACCTTTCTCCTCTAATAATAATAACAATAACTTCAGTCTATTAAATATGTAGTTTTCCCTTTGGGATATGATAAGAGAACAAACAGCAGGCAGATGCTAGGCATATAACTCAATGCATTACAGGATGATGGTGGTGATTACAGCAGGGTGGTGATGTTCAGGTATTGGGGTAAACAATGGGAAGGCTTTTCATGGATTAAAACACAAATGAGTCCTGTGAATGAAAGGAAACCCCCCAGTAAATATTTGGAAACAACAGTTAATCTTCTCAGTTGATTGTTCAGACTGTGAAATTCTCCACATTGCCTGAGAAATTATCCTGCATTTTTTAATGAGAAAGGTCTGATAAGAAGCTACATCAAAAATGCTTGGTCAAAATAAGTAACAGCTCTTTGCTTCCTTCCTTGCCTGACTAAAAATTAGTTAAGGAGTATTTTCCATGCTTGCATAATATAAAACATTCTTTATTTATCTTACTATTTGTTAAAATATTGGTTAGTTTGGTTTGGTTTTGCTTTTCCTTATATATTGTTTCATAGTTGGAATAAAAAGTTCTTAAAACAAAGAGGGAAAATATAACATGAAAAACCTTTAGGAGCAAGGCCATGCTTAAATAAATACTCTCAAAGCAAATGGAGAATACTGAAAACAAGAAGCCAGACTCATGAGGGTAAATCAGACAGTCCTGAGAATGGTACAAACAAAATAAATTTACACTGGAATTTGCTGGTAATTTACTCCTCCAGTAGATTAAAGCAGGGAACTTAAAATAAACAAATATCACCATTACAAAAACTGTAAAACTTTGATGGAATGCCAAGAATGAAAGATGTTCTAACAGCAACTTCAAGTAGTTGAGTGTATTATTCACCCCGCTGTGTGGGTTTCTGAGGCTATATATTACTTATTTTAGTTTTTAGTCATGCTTATGTGTCACTGGAACAGAGTAATCAATACAATACAGTGCAGAGAGCCTCGACTAATATCAGTGCTGCCATGTTACAGGATGCCTCCTCTACTTTTCTGTAACTTTATAATGGCAGCCCTGCATGAACACACTCTTTGGCAGCCACTGTCCTTATTTTTTTGTTGTTTTCTGACAGGACAAATTGTAGCAAGGAGAGGAGGGAAATTGCAAGAGAAATCTGAAGCTGCCTGGCTTGCTGATTTAGCAAATGTTATGGTCTTTGACAATGAGGCTTTTACTTCTTGTTCCAAAGATATTCAGATAGCAGTTTTCAAAGTCGTGCTGCTGGTGTTGATATAAAGCTGATTTTTCTATCCAGCTAAATTTCTCCATTTTGTTTCTCTCGTCTCATTAAACTGAAAATATTCTCATTAACTTGAGTATGTCTTGAATAAATTACTTCAAAATCCGTAATTTAATATCATATAGACCTCAATATGGCCATGAAAACCCTACAGGAACTAGCTTTGTATTTAAGGAGAAAATATGACCTAAGAACTGCCAAGAATGACTTCACAAAACACAGGGCCCTGTGGTCTTGAGAAACTCTGTGTTGCCCAGAGACATATGGAAACTTTAACAAAACTGAGATCACTGAGCACAGGGTTTTGTGCATCAAGAATCATACCCAGGTCCTCCAGTGAAATTATATTTTTCAGAAAAGACTGATGAAGATTGAAGAAATTTTCTCCTTTTCTCATTATACCTGTACAACAGTAATCAATCACTTTCAGGAATCTGAATTTAGATCTGTTGAAATCAAATTGTGCTCCCAAACTGAATTTGGCTCAGTCAGTTCTTGATGACGTATGAATTGAACATCTTAGCCAGCTTGATGTTAACTACAACAATACTCAATTAAATGTGTGGTGCATATTAACACAGCCTGGCCTATCAGATCTTTTCTGATTTTTAAGCAGTAATATTGCAAGATTACTTCCTGCAATGTTTTTTATCACACTCCAGCCTTACATGTATTATTTATCTCAATAACTGAATATATCTGTATTAAAACCTTAGTTTCACTTACTTTGTCCTAATGCAGTGCTCAAGTGGAGGAGTAAGATCATTTTCTTTATCTTCAGCACACATCTGAGTTGTGTCTGCAGAGACATATCAGATATTATTAGTGCCTGGAGCATATTTCTATTCATACAGAATACCGCAGTAGCTTCTAGGACTCCACCCATGGAAGTGACAGACTACTACTCACACTGTATATTTCCTAGCGCACAACAGGCATGTATCTACTTTGGGTTGAAATATCCTGGAAAGTGAACACTGCTGGCACTTAAATATCACCTCATGTTCACATCACTTGAACAGAGAGGACACAGACAGGGCCAGGAACGCTCAAGAGTGTGAACCATGATTCTGGAACTTTGCCAATAGCAGGGGCTTTATAGCTGACCTTATAGTGAACATTCCGGCAACCACTGCTTTGCTTCTGGAACCCTTTCCACTAATGGCTTACTGCCTGTTCATGTGGTGGAAGTCTAAAGGCTGAAAGGGGGAGACTGAATGTAAACACTGTTAGGAACGATCCTAGATTGTGCCCAGTATTACTTGTTTGGGCTAGAAACATACCCAGAACTAGGCTGACAACTTAACAATAAGGATGATCATGGGACAGTGCTCAGACTCATGCCCTGACCCAAGCTAGTTTACTAATACAGAGACAGTTACAAGGAAAATCTCAGATTAGAAAGTGAAAAATCATGGAGGGCTGTAATAAGGTTTTTATTTTGCAGCTGATGTCATAATTACAAAGAAAGCAACTTTTATTACTCTAATACTAAAGACAGCGGAAGTCCTACACTTGAATAGGAAATCCTAAGTCCAGTCGGAACCGGGTTATAAGATTCCTTCACCCTGGAAAAAAAGACTGTCCCTTGACTGTTGAGAAAGCAATGCACAGATGGGAGAAGATGATTTTGGGTTGGACATAAGAGAGCTACCACAGGCTCTGAGCATTCTTTCGGGACAGAGAGGCAATTGCACTGTTTCGGGGAAAACAGAGAGGTCAGTGTCTCAGACACTGGATCTGTCAGCAGTGAAAGTAGTTGCTGAACTTCCCAGGGAGAAAACATCCTGCGACGAGCTTGGATGTCAGTCTGCTCAGCTGTTTCCTGTTTTGGAGTAAAACGTTTTAAACTGCAGCAGACAACATATTTTTCTTTTTCTTCTTTTCTGTCTGTCACCCAGCCAATGGGTGGTTTGTGAGCAACAAAAACTGCCAAGACAGGGTATAGGATATGGGTCTGCTTCTGTGAGACTGATCTAGACAGGATGGGAGGCAATTGCTCTTATATTCACAGCTGCCAATCTCAGATATATCAGGCTTCCTCATGTCAAAGAGAGAACCTGGCTCTCCTTTGCTTGTTGATTTTGTTGGTATAAATACATGCAGAAAAATCTGATTCACTGTAAGGGCTAGAGTAGTAGGAAATGGACAATACTTAAAAGTACATAAAGTTCTGGCAGTTTTCTCCTAGATCCTCAGGAACTTAGAGATATCAGGAATCTTTAAAGGTTCAAAGGGCTGTTTTTATCCTAATATTGAAGAGTTTGAAAAGGTTCATTAAAGGTCTCCAAAAGTATTTGGACCCCTCTAGGAATTCCTGATACTGATGTTCTGGATCTTCTCATAGTGAGAAGCAACAGCCACTGTCCTGACTACAGTATTGGTAGCAGGATAGGCAAATGGCATGGCTGCCTTTTCCTGTCATTGCCAACTTGCTGAATTTTGTCATTTTTATACTTGAGTTTTTCCAACCAAGAGATTTGAATGGAGGTTTCTCATACAAAGGAATAAGCAAAAAAATATCACTAAAGGTATATCTTACAGGAGTAGGCAAAGAACATTTAGCTAAGTTAATTAACTAACAAATTGTGATAAAGTGTTTCAGACAACTCATTTAAAGCAAGCAATACTGAAGTTACACTCTTCCATCTTGGAGTCCACAAGGAGGATATGAATATGATCTCTTATATCTTCACTTATATCCTAAGCTAAGGGTAGTGAGAAATTAAGTGCAAGCACAGCTGCAGACAAACTTGCTATTCAGGAGTGCTCATATAATGAGCACAGGTTTAGAAGAGTGGAAACTGAAAAGAGAAGAAACCCAGAGAAGAAAGATTGCTCATAATTTTAATGGCAACCTTAGGAAGTTATGGTTTATTAATTACCTTTCCAGAAGACTTTTTTGCACATTGGAAAAATTTTATCTTAACTTGCAAAAAAAAGGATTCTGAGCCATATTTAATAGGCCAGCATTCCCTAGAAGCTGCCTCCAGTATCTCTACATGGGCTAATTTCCCTGCTTGTGCTACCTTCTGTGCAATCTGCAAAGGGGCTGAGGATGGTGACTATGACTCTGGAAGAATCTTCTGAGAAACTCAGCTATATACATTTTAGCAATTGTTCAGCTGCTTTTTGAAAACACCTTTAAAAGGATACTGAGTTGAAAATATGCACCAGTGAGATATAACAATGATTTATTAAAAACAATTGTATAAAAATTCCCTATATCTTTACTTGGAGACACCATATTGTAAATGTTAACATAGGTAGCGGCTATCTGTATATATTAGAAAGGAAGATCAGTATCTCTCTTATAAAACCACACTTTTTTATACACATGGTCTCTGTGACATAGAAAAAAAATTGCAGAATCTCTACTCAGTCCCTAAACAGCCAACAAAAGAAGATGAACAAAATGCAGAGGGTTATTGATTTAGATACACTGGCATGCTGTCTTTCCCTGCCTGTCAGAAATTTCTATCCCAATGGAAATAATAAAGAACCTTCACCTATTTAGGGTATTATGTTGAATTCACTAGCAAGCATTGCCTGCTTTTAGGAAGAAACTTTGTATTTCTCATCTTCATAGGTTATGAGAAGCAGGGCAAATTCTCAGTATAAGTGGCAATTGCCATTACCCCTAAAATGTAATCTTACTCTTTCTTGCTTTTCTTGCCCAGTGTAATTTCTTCAAGGTTTCCTGAAATGTGACCTTGATTGTAATCTTCCTAATTATAAAAAAAATATTCCCATTTCAAGGAATTTACCTTCTTGCTAGTGAAAAGCAAATGACTTTGCTAACCTGCACCAGTGAGATGTGGCTATGCAGCACCCAGGACCTCTGGTTAGGTAACACTGCCTAACCGTCACAGCTTGCTGATATTTCCACAATGGAAATGCTAGTAATACTTAGAATTTTGAGATATCCATCTGGTACTGTATGCATGGTTTAAATGTATAATCAATGCTACCTTTGGATGTAAAGTAGTTTCAGTATATCTCCAGACCTAACAAGGGATTACTGTACAGCCAGGAAAGCATTTCCCTGCAATGATGGAATTTGCATTTTACAGCCTTTTGCAGAATTTCATAGATAACAAAAGATTTGCTAAGATACATTCCTAGAAGAGCTTAAAGCCACAACAGAAAGATATCTACCTCTCAATACAAGTTTTTGAGGAGAAATGTACAAATATGCCGTGACAGGTTGAACAGTAAAGAAAAATTTTCACATACTCTGAGCACTTGCTTATCCAGGGATCTCAGAGTGCTTGGTAGATCTGTATTTTGGAAACATTCCTTACTTACTAATGACGTAAAGACAGATAAGGACATTCTTTTTGGACCATATGTTACATTGTACAACACAATAGAAAAAATGTTAATCTCTGTATTCTTATGCTGAACTGTATCATCTGTATCACAAAAAAATCTTTTATCTCAGACAGACCATGTGGGAACCAGCTGGCAACTCTAGAAGTGTAAGCATTTTTTGAGATTATATATAATGTGAATACTGCAACAGAATGACAGGGATTTTAATTAAAGTAAGAGGATAAATAACAGGCAAAAAGACAAGCTTACTATCAAATCTTGTGAGATGCTAAAGCCCCCAGCACTCCCACTCAATTAGACTCAATTAGAACATACAACACCCATGTATAAGTCATCCTGTCTAAGAACCAGAATGTAGGTGCAAACAAGCAATACAGCTTATTTCTAAAGAGTGGACTACAATAGAGTGGCTCCTTAAGATTGAGAAGGAATTTGATTAGATTGTGTAAATATACTGAAGGAAAGAAAACAAAAGATAAGTAGGTTATTATTAGCAAATAGAAATGTAGTGGTCAAGAATGTCTTAATATGGCAATAAGTAGGAGCTTTCTAAGTATCAGAATACTCCTTGTCCAAATGCCTTCCAGGTGGAGAAACACATAATTACTGTAAAAGCAGCTGCATAATTTGGCCTGGTTTCCTGAAAGAATGAGTGTAACAAGTCAGAAGATCTTTTTCATGTTTCCAGGTATGCTTACAAGCGGGTAAGAGGCCAGGCTTTCTTAGCAGATTACTGTCATATTCTGAAGTAGCTGTTGTTGGAGGCAAGGATTTCATGCTTCCTCACCATTTCTGCTCATTTTACTACAGGCGTGTAGGGTTGAGGAACAGAAGACTTGCACTTTCTGCCTACAGAAATTATGTGAGAAGATGTGAGGAAGAATAGGAGTAGTTAAATATGGCTTATAGCCCTGGGAGCATGAATAGACCAGACCACAATCTTCTCCTTGGAAATCAGCGTCACTGAAAGATTTACCAGTCTATACAAGGTAGCCCATGCTCACATTTAACCATTTCAGGAGCTTATCCTCAAAATTTCCTTGTGAAATCTAATTTCCAATTAATCATCAAAACTTAAAATTATGAAGCAGGCACACAACTAATTTTTAATGCCTGAAACCATCATTGTTTGTATTAGTGGATTCTTCTGTTGCCATCATCAGAGATTAAATGCAGATTTACTGAGTTGTACATACCAACTGTTAACCGTATTTCTTCTTCCTGGTTAGCCAAGCCATCATAATAATATAGATCAAATTTCCGCTCTGTTTTCCAGTCACCTTGTAAATCCTTTTCCAAACTAAAAAGCACACTGAAGTGGCTTTCACTGCACACCAACCAAATTGGGTATTTAGGGGTCTTCAAGTAACAACCAACCTAAAGGGAAGATACAAAACAATAGAAAATCATAGGGAGCAGGGGGAGAAACAATTTATTTATTACCGTGCACAAACATTAATGAATACTCATTATACACTGCTGATGAAGCAGATCAGGATAGGTCTGGTAAATCATGGAACATAGCAAGCAAGCATCTAGCCCTGAGGTAGGCAGTTAATGAAATCCAGCTGTAGTAACCTTACAGTAAAAAGATCATATCCCTGATGATCAGAACCAAAAGGAATCCTGCCCTCTGCAATAGCTATAAAACCACAGTGAGTTTAGGTCAGGAATATTACATGAGATCAATGGGAGACCATGCTCTTATGCAACAATACCTGGAAGCCAGGCAGGAGACTTCATAGGATCTCAGATGACATGAGACACCCCTGTGTGAGCAACTAAACTGAACTCAAAATCTTTTATTGGATTAAGAATATAATACAATCCCTTCACTTTAGCATATTCTTCTAGCTTCATAGCCCAGACATTTTACATGTTCTCAGGTACTAGAAGAAAGCAACAACAGAAGCACTTGTTTTGAGTCACTATTCTTAAAGGTAGCTGTCTTGGCCATATGATCATGAAATGGTTGACTTTAAAATTTTCACTGTAATGAGAAAAAAGGACAGCAAAGTTGCTACACTGGATTTCAGGAGAGTGAACTTTAAGCTATTCAGGGAGCTATTTAGCAGAGTACTAGACGATCGTTGTAGGTCCCTTCTAACTGAAATAAGATTTGAAGTATATTTCTTAAATCTACCAGATGCTTAAAATGTAGGCTACTATAGCAATTCTTTGGATTTGCAATTACTTTTCTCTGTATGTGTATTCATTTATCAGTTTAGCCATTTTTCAAATGCTGCTTCACCCCATAGTCTTTAAGGTTCAAGTCTAGCATAGAATTGAGGCTCATAGCTATTATTTGTCATGGAATTTATGGTTTAAAGTAGACATATATATGCTTTAATACCTGAGAGAGTGTATCTATGGTTTTGAAACCTTACATATATATATACTGATATGAGTCATGGAAGTTCTCTGCATCCCCTGAGGTCACTGAATAACTTGTAGTATTTTCTTCACCTCATACTAATGTGTTCTGAGACAGATACCATTCTCCTACTGCATCCTGCTGCTTTAAAACTGCAGTATCAGTTAATGATATTAGTAGCTTCGGTAGTAAATAGCAGTAAAAATAGTGACGAGATTGCTTAATGTAACAATTAATTAATGTAGCAAAGAAACCTAATTTCTCTCAGCTAGGATTTTAATATTCAGCTATAATAGATATTTACTGTTAGCTATATTCCTGTCACTGAAGCTGTATGATAAGTTCAAAATAATACTGTTTTTTCTCCCATTGAATTGTTGGGTTTTGTATCTTTAATAAATCGCTCAGGGAAAATAAAAAAATCAAACTGTTTTCTTTCAGTGGAATGTTTCTGACAACAGCTCTGCTTATTATTCATATAACAGAGAGAATCACTACCATGCAGGATGCTGTGTAAAACCATCTTTATCACCAGTTCTGCATATCCTTTGCTAAACAGATATTGCACTGATGGTATGCTACTAATCTGCAAAACAAGGAATGGCAGCCAAGTGTGCAAATATATGCACAGAGAAATATGAGATCAGTTTCTGCCTCCATAATACAGACACATGGATCAAAGAAACTTTGCTAGTTTAGAGGCTCAGGTAGTTTTGAAGAGGTTTGCATAGTAATATGGTGATATAATCTACAGAAATCATCTACTCTATTGCAACTTCTACGTTTACCACTATGGGATTTAAATAATGTCTCAGCATATGCCATGGGTACTAGTGGAAACTGGAAGATTTTTAACAGAAAAAAAATCTTGTACATGCTTTCTAGATATAGATTCACAGATACAGCTTCTGCAGCCCATTCCCCAGTTCTTCATTTTGGGCAGACAAGTGCATCAAATAAATTGCTAAAACGCAGGAAGCCAACATATATGCTATTTTAATTAAAAATCTAAACAGCATCAAAACTAAGTGATAAGTAGTGTGTGGGATTTTTATTCTTGAGATTTAGAATTTATATATGAAGTGTTACATGAGTACAAATTCAATTATATTCCCCAATGAGAATTTCTGCTTACATAACAAGTCTCTAGCTAATTAAGTAACTATTCCCTGACTCATTACTTCACTAATATCTATTTATAACAGCCTTTTATAAAACAGCTTTGGGTTTTTATGTAAATTCTCATCTTAAAGAAATTTTTTAGAAGCTCACAAAAATACTCATAACAAGAGTTATCACAAAGGGAAACACACAGATGCAATAAAAGATGGCAAATTAGAGGGATACAGATGAAAAGATTCAGTCTCACATATTTTAATATGCAGATATATCAAAGCCAGAAAGGAACACCCAGTCTTCTAAAATTGTGTTCTTCCTACATATGTCTGATAAAGTAACTTCCAAGCTTCATCAAACAATGTTTGACAAAACAAGATTAGAGAGATACAACTGTGTTTCAAAGCACACATCCACTCCAATTCTTACACACATGAACAGTCTCATTGAAGTCAGGACAAATTGTTCAGATGAGTAAGGTCTGCAGGAACGTTCTCTAAACATATATAGTTTTCAATTACAATGCTTGCAGAAGAAGGTGAGGACATGAACTTTAAGACAATAATGAGAATCTAAAAACATTTCAGTTCAAATCCTCATTTTTATAAAAAGCGGGAAGTCTTTGTTTCAGTTACATCAATTATTCTAGGTGAGGATTGGCTGCTGCCTTTAACATCAAGTTGTGTTCCAGCTGTTGGCTGGTCACTGCAGGTCTGCTTCTCAAAACAATCGGCCACTCTGTCCTATTACCATCACCTTACAGAGGCTTGTGGCTCTCCAGAAACCTCAGAGTATTCCTGCACTCTGGGTGGGAATAGAATGGAATGGGAAAAGGTCAGGCAGCATGGAATGGGTTTTATCCATAAGGTTAAAATTCCTTCATATCTCCGTATTTCTTTGTCTAAACTTCCAATAAGGAAATTCTCTCTCCCATTGAATTCCCCAAATCATGTCTAATTTTTTTCTACAAAATATAATATGGAACCATGCTACTGGCAAGGTAAGAACAATCCTCCTTGTGAGGATTCTTCTGCCGCCTTCTTGAAGCATCGATTGTTGAGTAGACTGAAAGCGTGCTCTCATTTAACTGGTCCAGCTGGTGAGTGGTGAGCGCTTCTTCAATTGATGGGTCAGGTTGGCTGGTGGTAGTGATCCTGGAATATAACAGGACCTTGAAGCAGAACAGGGAAGAACAAGCATGAACACCAGTTCTGACTTCTCATGAAACCCTTCAAACTCCGAGTGTGTGTTATCCAAAAAGTGCTTGCCAGAGAATGGGGCCCTTCCTTCCAGCTGTTGTATGCTGCCCTGTGAGTGTAATGCTGCCTCTGACTTCCAAAAGCAAATCAGGGATATGTAACTTGAATCTCTTCTATTAAATATTATTTTTGTAAAGGGCTCAACAGCTGTATTTCTTCTTTGCAAACCAAAAATAGAATCCCTTTTGTTTTTTGAGTTATTTTTTGTTTTTTTTTTCTGTTTGCAGTAACACAATGCATTAAAAAGTAATAATGCATTACTATTCAAATATTTGTTTTCAAACATGATCATTAACCTTCAGGAAAAAAAAAAAAGTAAGGAGGGGAAGAATGAATTAATGAATTAGGTGTCTTTTCGTGCTGCATGTTTTTAATTCCTATGGAGACTTCACTAACCCTGATTCTCTCCCTTACAAATCTCTTAAGAATGCTCACAAATTTCAGTGACACAATTCTCAACTTCGGAAAATGTCAACCTTTCAAAAGCAAGCACCTTTAAATGGCTCATTTTCAACAGTCTGGGTGGTCTTTTTCCACATCTGACTTCAGTGTGCATTTGCACAATAGTGAAATTAAATCTACAGACAAATATTTATGACTGGAGAATTATTCTAAAGTATCTGCCAGAACGAGTTTATGGTACTTCACCATTTTGCTTTTATTTTGTCATTGAACAGGCTATTTTTTGCCATATGTATACCAAAAGAAACAAAAAAGAAATATAATGTAGATACTGTGTTTCTTCATCTCCATTACCTTGAATAGAAACAAACATTAGATTATCACTTCTATACAGTGGCTATGATTTAAAGAAGAAAAGATTATACCAAAGCTAGGGGAGATCACTTTATATGGCTAGTGTGATGCCATTTTTCTCCAGGAGCTTTATTATTACTTAGTGTAATTTCACTTCCTTGCTTGTTGGACTTAGATCATAAATTAGATATTATTTCTTGCTTTATGTTTGCTTGCATGAATACAACAGATGCTTATTTTCCATAGCAATCATCAATACAGTACTGAGACCCATGTGATTCCACAAAGGTCTGGGTTCTGCCAAACTGTGTAATTTCTAATTGTACTGAATCCAGTATGATTGATAGACAAAAGGATAATTACAAAGCTTTCACAGTTAAAGGCCACAACCTATTGTTTATTCTGTCAATGTTTTTTCCTCAGAATTGCAATGACCTTTACTGAATTAATATTAAACAATGTTCCAACAGTGAACGTTGACACTAAAGTGTCAATGGTGTCAAAACAGATATACTTGGATGGGCAAGAACACCACTGACTCAGTTCACCTATTTGACCAGCAGTATTAAAATACCAGGTCAGCCACAATACTATTATATTTGCATCTAGTTAAAGGACACTGTGAGGGTAAAGATAATGCCACTGATGCGTACTTGATTTCAATCAGATTAAGAAAAATAAAACTAATGTTCACAAAGGTTATTATTCAGACTATGCATAACTTAATGACTTAATGCTGTGTGACAGCCTTAGATAATTTCTCTGCAGCTTTGAATCCTTCTTGTTGTAGAAAAGGAAATCTTTCTGATAATGAATGTGGCGGCAGGGGAGGACAGGAGAGAGAAGGGCAACATTAACGAAGAAGAACAGAA